ATTACAAAACATTCGATCATGGATTACAAAAAATTCTATCATGGGTTACAAAAATAAAAATAAAAAATAAAATTCGATCATGGATTACAAGAAAAAAAAACAAACATTTCGATCATGGATTACAAAAAATTCGATCATGGATTACAAAAAATTCTATCATGGGTTACAAAAAAAAAAAAAAAAAAATTTTTGTTCTTCACAGAGTCGTTTTACATAAGCGATTTTAATTAAAAAATTCACCTCTAAGTGAATAAATTACATCCAATTGAGTATATTTTCTGATAAACAACAATATAAGGAATCAAAACCCTAAATTTTTAACACATTATTTCTAATATATCATGAAAACAAAATCAAAAGGCGGAAAAAAAAAAAAAAAAAAAAACGGAATTTGGTTCCGCAGACATCTCAGTGTTCATATCAAATTTCTTGCTATAATTGACCAGATTACGTAAAATTGAAAATTTTAAATCATACTAGACACAATAAAGATTAAAAACCCTAATTATTGAACTCATTATGTTCAAAATATGTCGTGAAATAAATCAAATGGCGAAAAAAAAAAAAAACCCAAAGTTCTTACCTGATTTTGTGAACCGAAGCCTTCAATCTCCAAAAAACTCTGTTTTTCTCAACGATTATCACAAATTAGTAACAAAAGGTTTTGATTCACAGATTTAAGATCAAAATGCCTACAAATTTTGAAAGATTCATGCCCTATTTGGCATGAAACTTTCAGAAAAGGCAGAAACCCTAAACACCGAATTTTTCGTGATCCAAAAACAACAAATTTTTCCACCATTTAATCCTTGAAAAAACTGAATAAAGCTGTTTACAGCCTGCAAATCAAATCACATACCAAAAAAAACAAGAAAAATGATCAAAAAATGACAAATTTCAAAGAATCCCGTGAAGAACACTGTGCAACCCGTGTTCTTTACGGACTCGTCGATTCTGCACAGTGAATCGGCGAGTCATTGTGCGGAATCGTCCGGTTCTCTCTAGAATCGGGCGATTTCCGATTTTTTAACTGATCCTGTCCCTTTTCGCGAATTCCGAATCGAACAGGGCGAGTCCGGTTCGACTCGGCGTTTTTTAAAACGCTGGTTTGGCCCATATGTTGCCCCCCATCCCTAGAGATCTTATGTATAAAATTTATCAAAGTTTGAACAACCAAATCTTGATTTGCGTTTTGATCTGCATTAGCTTCTCTTCCCATTCCTCTTATCCAAATCACCAGGTGTGTCCAAGCATCGCCAGGGCCCCGACCCGCCCGCTATTGGCCCGATAATCTCTTTTGGTCTGGGCTTGGGCCATCCTGTACATACCTTTTTTTAAGAGTAAGATCACTCTTTCAAAAAATTTCTGTCTCCCAAAAAAAAGTCTTTTTTTATAGAAAAATTATACTAAAATATTTTTTTCAAATTCTAATAAAATCTAACAAATAAAAAAATATGTTTTTAAAAATTTAGCAAGGCACGTGGTAACCCAACCTGGTACATTGACCAGGAGATGAAGGTACAAAACGAGTCTCACGTTGTGGGCATGCGCCCTAGAAAGAGAGAATAATTAAGAGCTACCTAGAGGATCAAAATTAAAATTTTATATTTTTTAAAGAAAGTTTATATAAAACCGAGGCTCCAAATGATCAAATTAGAACCCACATCAAAAATTTCACTAGAAGGGTTTGTTTTGATATCCACATATCGTTTAAATTGATCACCTCGACATCAAAATGCATGGACATAAGAAATAAATTGATTGAAAGTTTTAGAAATAATGCATCTTGTAATGCATTTTTTATTGGTTAATTTTCAAGATTTTCAAATTTTCATAGATATGTTGGATCTACATTATTTTTTAAGCTTTGTTTTATAATTAAAAATAAGAATATATTTTAAAGCTATCATAAATATTTTTAATATTGAAATTACATTTCTCGATACTATTTAAAAGTGCGTTTTAGTTTGATTGTTTAGGGCCTTGGCTCTATACAAACTGCACCGTATTTTTAAAATCTATCGGCCCTACAATCTTACCCAATTCTGGCCTGCCCTATCAATTGGGAAGATGGTGAACCATCATTGGAGAATTTGAATGGCTAGGAAACATTGTGTCTCTAAATCCCTAAAAATTGAATAATTTTACAAAAAATTGAAACCCTTGAACAAGATGAGATAGGAGACTACCGGAAAGCAGCCCACCACAAGTCCCATGTTCCACTTCAGAGAGAGAAGAGGAGGAAGGTTGACTGTCTGTGTGGATTGTAGAGAGAGAGAGGAATTTCTATGTAACGCACAATTGCTAGAGAGAGATTGTGTATATTCCAATGGGGGTCACTTTTGCAATTTTCGTGGCCTCTATGTCCTTTTGCTCTAATTCAAGAGTCTATCCAGAAAAAAGAAGGAAAAAAAAAAAAAGGACACCTGACTTACAATCTGACATCTGGCATTCTTTTACTGAGATAACCACAAGAACCTATGGCTCTAAACAAATAAAAAACCTATATTTAATACATTTTCCATTAATTTCCAAATTTATCATTTCTATGAATAAACCATTTATAGTAATAATAAATAGCACAGTTTCCCTTAGTTTCAAGGCAAAGCCATTCTGGTCAAACTTGCTTTAATTCATGGCATCTTCCTCCACTTTTATAAATGGTGCACTAGCCACTGGTTGTACTTTTACTGGAAAGGGAAACCCTAGGATTGTTTCAACTTCTGGCAAAAGTTTTCAGAGCAAAAGCTTCATTTTGCGGATCAGGGCTGAAGCCATGGCTACTGAGAAATTGGGGGTTAAAGTCCAGAAAAACCCACCTGAATCAAAGCTTGCAGAGCTTGGTGTGAGGAAGTGGCCCAAGTAAGTTTGTTCCTTTTACTGTAAATGGCAACTTAAGTCTTTTCTTTTTTCGTTTTTTTTGATAAAAATGGAACTTTAGAAATTTTGGGGTTTCAGTATCTTTTGTTTTGGATATAGAAAGCTTGATTAGTATTTGTTATTATTATCATTTGTGAGAAATGTTGTATGGTATCTGAAGTCCGTAGGAGTATCATGATAAGCATTTTTTTTTCTAATTAATTTCCCTGAGCTTGTGGGAAATTTTTTGAAGGAAATAGTCATGCAATGGCCTAGTTAAGTCTCCTGTTTTTTTTTTTGGTAAAGATTGAAATTTTTACAAAAATAGAACCTCAAGAAGTTGAGCTCTCATTCTTTTTTGTTATGAATTTGTAAGAAAACAGCTCTAGTATTTTTGGTCTTTCTTCTGTACATTCAAACATAGAATAAGCCTTTCTTTATTCATTTTTCTCGTAAAACTTTTTCTAAAAATCTATAGTAAAATTTGGCCATGAAATGTATTGTAGAAGAAAAAGAAATGTCCAGCTCCTCTTTGCAATCCCTATTACCTAATGAATAAATGAGCTCTTTCTCTATTTTCTTTTGTTTGTTTCCACCCACATCCAATAACTAAACCCATGGAAATTGACAAAAAAATTCAAGTGAGATTAAATTAAAACTTAGGTGAATTTAATTAAATTCCAGCAAAATTTAGAGAAATTTGGGGCTTGATGTTTTAGGTGGGGTTGTCCTCCTAGCAAGTTTCCATGGAGTTATGAAGCAAAGGAGACGTGCTATTTGTTGGAAGGGAAAGTGAAGGTGTTCCCTGATGGTGCAAAGGAGTTTGTGGAGATTGAGGCTGGGGATTTGGTTGAATTCCCAAAGGGAATGAAGTGCACTTGGGATGTCTCACTCGCTGTCGACAAACACTATAACTTTGACTGAATCTCTCTATCTCAGATCACATACATATATATCTATTCTACTTGTATGCTCTACCATCTTTCAAGACCTTTGCCCTGCCCTAACATCTGATGCTTCAATACCAACATTCTCTCTCTCTCTCTCTCTTAATATATATCTTCTCGGATGCTTCAATACCTTTGGCTTAACATGTTTTATAATTAAGTGAGCACTCTATTTTCTTCTCTCTACCTTCTATTTATTTGTACTTAATTGCCACTTTTACTATCATAGCATAGCAAGTAAGTTGTGCTTTTGTATTAATCTCATGCAATGCTTTCGGTCTAACACAAAATAAGGGTGGTCCGGCATTTTGGCCATGCTGTCCCGGCGGCAGATCCGTACTATGAGCATTTTCGTCAAGAAAAATATATATATAATTTTTTTTAGCTTGGGGGTTATTTGCAAAAAAAGTTAAATTTGAGGTAAAAATTTGTTTTAAAAAGGAACTTTACTGGGCGTAGGTTGTTTAAAAAGTCTCATTTTGGGAGTTTTTTTTTTCACATTTTTTGGACCGGCCATGACTTGTCCGGATAGGTCGGTTTATCTTTAATTATAAATTTATAAAATGATATAGATCAAGCCCATCAAGAAACATTTGAAATCTTGAGAATAGACGGTCCAAATAACTTGTTATTGGATGCACTATTTTTTGAACTTATAAATTTTTTTTTCCATTCATGACCATTCATCTCAAGGTCAAGATGATCTGTTGGAGGTTTTTTCAATGCGGAAACACTCTCCACTAAGAGAAACAATAATGATTAGGGTTAAATATAAAATAGATCAATATAAAAGAAAAAATAACGACCGGCAAGGTATACGTGGTTCTTCACTGATGCAATTGGATCCATAGGCAAAAACAATCCATAACTTCGCTAATGGAGCTTTCCAAAGAAACATATCAATGTGGCCAAATTTTTAAGTGAAAAAATGTCTAGTTTCAACATAAAATAGATAGCTATCAAGCTACATCAAGAATTTTAAGACACAAGACTTGAAAATGTCCTTTGGCTAAGTATTTTCCTATGATGAAATGATATGGTGTATTAGTTACTTAATATGTTAGCTTCAAATAGTTGGGATAAGACTTTAATGAAAATGATTGTACAACTTAATATCTATTGGCTCCAAATAGTTGGGATTAGAGTCTAATGAAAATGATTGTACGACCTAATTTCTATATGATGAGACTGCAACTGAAGTGATTAAACACATTGGAAATATCAAATGGAAGTGCGCAAGGGATGCGATTCTAAATCCCCATGCATTTTTTTCCACAAAGATAGCTTATGTTTCATGCTCAAAGTTTAAATAGCTTTAGCGCATAAAGTAAATTTCAAAAACCAAAGCCATTATCTATTCATCTTAAAAGCTAAAGTTCAGATATAATGCCAAAGTTTGGCTCGCTCTCTCTAATTTTATCATGGAAAAATATACAATGATACTATTTAACTTTAATAGAAGATGGTCACAATTAATCTTGACCATTGGCAATTAATCTTGACCATTGGATGAAAAATTGGGTGATTACATTTATTCCATTAATTAAGTTCAAATTTTCTCACACATTGTAACATATCTAAATTATGAGATTTTATATCAGATGATTAGAAGTAATTGTATCCTCCTTATCTCAAAAGTAAATAATCTCATTGTAATCAATCTCAGGCTGAACAACTCCCACGATAAATAAAATATGGAATTGTATATTAAACCGTCCACTTTTTAATACAAAGAGATCGTAATCACCTTTATTGAAATCGTACAGCCCGCCACATTGTTCAAAAAATTATGTTTTTAACTTTATGTCCCATTAATAGCACACTTCCAACCACTTAATTTCACATCCTTGGATAAATAGATGTAACCTCCTTATATGGAAAATCCATTTAATTTCACATCCACGGGTGGATGTAACCTCGTTATATGGAAATAAACAGTCTTATTGTAAACTTCCATAAATATGACCGTGGCGTGTCACTATTCAAAAAAACTTTTCAAAAGAACTTCCTGTAAAATAGCCCCAAGAAATTATGTGCTGGATATTTATAATTTAAACAAAATTTCGAGCCAAAAAAAAAACTTGACAAATAACTCCAAGTTATTTATTATGTAATACTCGTAAATCGCACTTAAGCGTCATTCAACCAATTCCTCTCTTTCTCTCTCTCTCATCAAGTCCAAGAGTCTATGATCAATAAAGAAGTAATTCTGTGAAATTTTAACCTATTTTCTTGGATAAATATTAAATCAGAATGTTACATTTCAGTGAACAAACGAAAGCTGCCTTACAAGGATAATTACATCATTTCTTTATGACTGCAACTATCTTTAATTTACACAATGAGAGACGGGTAAAAATTACATGCTCATCGCTCTTGAAGCGAGCTCAGCTTCAACCTCTGATTCTCCCTCAGACCCATCGACGGATAACTGTCGAAAAGAGCAGCCAAACCAAATTCAACAGATCTTTCCAAGAAAAACACTGCTTAAATTGTTCTGCCAAAATACTAGCTAAATGAATAAGAAAATATCCCACAATTTCCAACATGTATTAGAGATTCAGCCATTCAAAAAGGATGAGAGATACAAAAGCAATCAAAGAATAATCTCTGCCTGAACATGTCCATGCTTCATAGAACAGACAGATAAGTGAAAGAACATTTGGGCATCATCCCTAGAGCACCACTCTTGAATTTAGAGAGAGAGAGAGAGACATAGAGGAAGGAGTGTGAGGGGAGAGGGGGGAGGGGAGTTGCAGCTACTGAAACAAAGTTTTGGGCCACTGATACACCATGTCTTTCTCCTTTTTTCTCTCTCCTCTCTTTTTTTCTCTGTTTTTTTCTTTTTTTTTTCCTGAAGAGAGAGAGAGAGTCTCTTGTTTTCTACAAGAGTTCATCAGACAGTACAAAGTCTCCCAGTCTCTGACGGAGTTCATTCAGATGATGACACACTGCCTCACAAAGGACTGTACAAGAGTGCCTTAAGATATTCTCAGAGGGATATGGATAGCATAGAAAATATCTTGCGGAAGTAAAACGACACAGCAAATAAAAATGCACAACATACCACTGGGTCCTTTAATTTGTGGTCGGCAAGATAGCAGTCCAAGGCACCATCTCCACGGAGAATTTTAGCACCAGTTCCTGGCATGTCACCATACCCCACAGCCTCCTCATCAACCACAACTGCATCAACTCTATCATTTCCAGTTTTGACATCTGGGATCTGATAAAAAGTGTAAGATAGGTACATCTATAAGAAATCTCATGTATGCTATTTATGAAGAATAGACAGATAAATAAAACAATGAAGAAAAGACAGTTACATAAAACAAGATTCAAGGATCCCCTCTCTCTCTCTCAAACACACCCACACACAAACAGAGGAACACACCCCATGTCAAAGGGTACTTAATTGTTGCTTTTTTTTTAGAACTAAAAAAATACATCATATAAAATAAATAAATAAAAAAGTGCGGTTGAGGGGTAAGGTTGGGGTTGAATGAGGGCTTCGTAGAAAGAGGCTACTGAAAATAGCCCAGAAGGGGATAGGCTCCATACGGTACTTAATTCTTGTTGTTTCTGCTGCTACCAAAACCCAATTTCTATAAATTAATTAGAAGAGTATCACAATCAACAGACCAAAGCTAAATATTGGACTAAATTTGGCTGTTATTCACCGGCCAAAATTTGCTGAAGTTAGAGACCATGGATCTAATTTGTGGAGAGGAAACAAGCATATGATTGGCATACCTCATACATAGCCTCAGTCAAAATACTCTCCAGAATGGCTCGAAGACCTCTGGCACCAGTATTTTTAGACATAGCTTTTTTAGCAATTAGTCGCAGTGCATTTTCAGTAAAATGCAACTTCACCTGTAAAAGGAAAACAACTGAGGCTTGTCAAGATCAATATAAGTCAATGAGATTGACAAGTTACAGCTCATGGGGAAGGTAATTACTTACATTGTTCATGCTGAACATCTTCTTGTACTGTTTTCCAAGAGCATTCTTAGGTTCCGTAAGGACCTATGATAATTGCAAGCGAAACAATTATAACATGCTAGACTCTCTAAGAACCAGAAATATAATAGCAAAGATTTGATGAAAACTATGAATGCTAAAGCTCAGATTTTCTTTGTTTTTCCCTTGTTTATGTTTCCTAGAGTTTTCCCTTTTTTCTTCTTAATATATATTATGTTGTTAAGTAAGTTTCCAAGTGACTTTTCCCAGAAGAACTCAAAATTTTGCAATTTTACCTATCAACTACGTCACCGAGATTTTGGCAATAGAGAGATTTGTTACTTAGTTGCTAGAATTATTAAGTATTCCAATAAATCTAATCTACAAGCATAGTTAATAGAAGAATCGTGTCATGCATGACAAAAGTACCATAATGGGATCAAAATAAGCTACCTGAACAAGTTGGTCCTCATTTAAAGCTGACAAACTAACCAGTATAGGAAACCGACCAATAAATTCGGGTATTAAACCATATGCCATAAGATCACCACTTTCAACCTGCATAAAGCAAAGGCTTCAACTTTATTGGCACTCTTGAAACTTAGGAGTTCTCCTGTACATTCTAAACAGCCTCAATTAAGGCAAAAGAGTTCAACCTGTTAATCATAAGAAAAAAAGGAGAAAAAGAAAGACAAATAGTTTCACCAATGCAAGGTTTTAGCACAATCCGATGGTCTATGTCCAATTATACGATGGACACCAGTGGAGAGAGAGAGTTGGACAAATCACCAACTGCAGTCATGTATTGTTCTGGTGGGTCCCTCTCTTCATCACAAACATAGTCCAATGGAAAAACAGTATGCCAGACCTGAATGAATACCAAATGTTTTTGTGTGAGTCTATGATTTCCTACAGCTTACCGATTCCAACAATGAAGATGTAACTACGGCATTCGTGAGACCACCAGTTCTCATGTTTGCTCGCACCGGAGCTCCAAATCCAATAGAGGAATCTTGCCGCCTATTAAGTCAAGAATACATTTCATCTTCAATATAAATTTATGGGAAAAGTTATTTATTTTTATAAAGACGAAGAACACTCATATACCAGACAAGAAATTACCTCTCAGAAATGGTTTTTTCTAGGTCAACAAAAGCACCACCACAGATAAAAAGAATCTCCTTTGTATCAATCTGCAAAGGCCATAAATCCAAGATAAAGGATTGAAGATGATTAATATCTAAATGGAAAAATAAAATAAAAACCGACTCTAGAGATGCTTCAGAAAAAAAAATTAGAGATGCTAAAATAAATGACACATGAGCATAAACAAAAGCCAACCATGTGGAACAAAGGAAACAGAGAAACAATTGCACAGTACATAATGACATAGTCCAATCAGTTTCTCAGGTTATAGTCCAATCAGTTTCTCAGGTTGTTTGGATCAGAAAAGAAAAGAATAAACATTGACAAGAAAAAATATCTAAAATTCGAAATACCTGCCTGGAATGCAGAGATCATGCATTGTTTCCAGATTTATTAAAGAACAAACATGTACCTGAATATTGTCACCACGTGGATGCTTCCGAGCACCCTTCTCGGGAACATTCACAACCTAGAAAAGAAAATATCACAAATGTCAGGGAAGTACAGTTCTCTAGGAATGCAAGATTTTATATACGAAGGCTCAAATAGTACAAAACCAGCACCATGCAAAATATGCTATATGAAGTAGTAACAAGATAATGACAATCCTACTTATACTAAAATAACACTCAGAAGGGTGAAGAGAAAACATTAATTATGTTGTCACTTAATAGGGAAGTTCCAGAGTTGAATCAGTTTGCATGAGGTGAGGGCCTCGAGCTAACACTGCCCTTAGGAAAATGGAAAAATGGAGGCCAGGTGCAGTGTATATACACTCACAGTTCCTTCTAGCATCTTCAGCAATGCTTGTTGTACACCCTCCCCAGAAACGTCCCTACTAATATTTAGGCTCTCAGCCTGCACACAGAAGGAATCAAAGACAGAATACCTGACCATAAGTAAGCAAGTTATTGAATAGAATGCATCATATTCTTTGTAAACTTGTACTTAAATGCAAGAGACCTTCTTAGTTATTTTATCGACTTCATCAATATACACCATTCCTTGTTGAGCTGCAGCCACATTGAACTCTGCCACCTGCAATAGGCAAAATAATTCATTATTGAAGAAGAGAGTAACTTTCATTGCGTAAGCAAGTATATCTTTCAAATAGCCAACATAACTCATAAAATGACTCTACTGTACACAACCGCTTCCACTGTATCTACAATCTGGATTGAATTAAACAAATAAATATGTCCGGATTCAATTAAAGAAACAAATCTTATCATGTCATTCCTTTTCAATAAGTAACATAATTACAGGCATCAATAACTCAGTCACGTGGCTAAAGAACGATGAATCATGGAAGGAACACATAAAATACAGCTGCAGATACATATAAAGACCACAATAAAAACCTACTATTATATAGTTGGAAAATGAGGCAATATGAAGACAAAACCAGGTGCAATAATTTGAAGCAGCTACTCAATTAAAAATGGAGGAGGCCCTTTCTTCTAAGTTTCCTAGGCCATCCAATTCAAATCATTCTTTACATGTAGCCTCTTCAAAATAACCTTTTCTTGAAAGTGGGGGGCATGGGATACAATTCCACTAACCTACCAAAAAAGGAAAATAATAAGATAAGCTTTTTTTATCCAAATGCACTTTGTGACATTAACTGATCTTATTACCTCGATACCAAACTCATGGTCAATAGAAGCAAAGGCAGTTCCAAGAAATAATTCAAGAAATGAGGTACATGAAATCTAGCATGATTTAAGAAATGAGATACATTTAGCAAACTACAAGTAAACTTGCATCATGTCAGTTTTGGTGCAAGGGAGAGAGGCAGGGGGAAGAAGAATTAGGGAGAAATTCATAGAAATGCGGGAAAAAAAGACAAGCGGAAAACAATGAAGAATGGTTTTATGTTGATTTAGCATGAGGCTCCTCCCTCCCCGCCAATGCAAATTTATTTTTAGACTCTGCTTCAAAGCCTCCATACCTCCCTCCCTCCCCGCCAATCCAAATTTACTTTTACACCCTTCTTCAAAGCCTCCATACAATAAAGCAAAAACAAACTAGCCACATTCTATAACCTTTGCATTTGGGCCCTAGCCACATTCTATAACCTTACATACCACAAAAAAGATGTCAAAATTTCCTAGCATGATCAGGGTGAAGAAACATACAATTAGCATCAAAATCCTTATCTTCATAACCAGCCATAGAGGGTACCATTAGAGTAGATCTCGGCATATCATGTTGTTGTGACAAAAATGCCACCTCCTAAAAGAGAGAATATAAAACAGAGTACCACACAAGAAAATGTCAGCTACCAAATGGAACGGTTAGCATTTCTGAAATGCATCCAATAAACACAATAAAAGACTCATCTCTAGTCCCAATCTATCACCATCTGTGCACCTACTGAGGATATTCCACACTACTCACTCTTCCACAAGATCTAATTCTAGCAGTTCAATCCAAGTCACCCAAGTACTGCATGGGCACTAAAATTGTAGAACAATTGCCTTCTCATCATAGCAGATGCTTTCAAATCCCCACGAGAAAAATTTACATGACCATTTGCGTTAACGTTCATGATCATCATCACATCATCCGTGCACCTACTAAGGATATTCCACACTACTCACTCTTCCACAAGATCTAATCCTAGTAGTTCAATCCAAGTCACCAAGTACAGCATGGGCAGTAAAATTGTAGAACAATTGCCTTCTCATCATAGCAAATGCTTTCACATCCCCACAAGAAAAATTTACACGACTATTCACATAGACCTTCACCATCATCATCATCATCCGTACACCTCTTGAGGATATTCTGCACTACTCACTCTTCCAAAAGATCTAATTCTAGTAGTTCAATCCAAGTCACCAAGTACCGCATGGTCAGTAAAATTGTAGAACAATTGCTTCTCAGTATAGAAGATGCTTTTACATCCCCACGAGAAAAATTTACTTGACCATTCACATTAATGTTCTTCATCATCATTATCTGAGCCTTATCCCCAACTATTTGGGGTCGGCTACACGAGTCCTGTCCCGCTCTATTGAGGGTCATTCCCTCAATCAGACCGTCAGTCACTATATCTTTTCTCACTACTTCCATCCATGTCTTTTGTGAACTTAACCTGGCCCCTTTAGAGCCTTCCACTTGAAACAAATCACCCCTACCAACTGGTGTTGTTCTAGGTGGACATTGTACATGACCAAACCACTTTACTTTCACTTATTTTATCGTCTATTGAGCAATCACTAAGTTTATTTGAATGTATTCATTTCGAATTCTATCTTCTCAGCTAAACTCATTCTATGAATATGTTGTTTCTTGACCATGCAACCACCCCGTAAAACATGGCTCATCTTACAACCGTCCTATAGAACTTCCCCTTCAGTTTCATTAATATGCAACGATCACATAAGAGTCCAAAATCACATCTCCAGTTTGTCCATCCAGCTTTGATTCTATGAGCAACATCTTCCTCAATCTCTTCTTTCTCATGGAATATAGATCCAAGATATTGAAAGTATTCTCTTTTAGGTACCTCTTTGCCATCAATCTTAACTAATTCCTAGTTTCTACTCCTATTATTACTAAACTTGCATTCCCTATATACTTTCTTAATCCGGCTAATTTTAAAACCTTTAGATTCTAAAACATCCCTCCAAATTTTTAACTTTGTGTTTATGTCTTTTCTAGTCTCATCAATCAAAACTATATCATCCGTAAACAACATACACCACTATACCTCATCGTGTAAACGCCCAGTTAACTTGTCCATAAGCAAACAAAGACATATGGGTTCAACGCTGACCCTTGATGTAAGCCAACTATTATCGAAAACTCACTTGTCTCTCCACTGGTTGTCCTCATATTAGTTAGCGCTCCCTCATGCATATCCCTAACCATATCAATATATCCTCTTGAGATGTCTTTCTTTTCAGCGCCTACCAAATTATCTCTCTAGGTACCCTATCAAATGCTTTCTCTAAATCAATAAACACCATGTAAATGTCTTTCCTCTTCTCCCTAAGCTTCTCAATCAATTGCTTAAGTAGCAAAATAGCCTCAATGGCTAACCTCCCTGACATAAATCTAAACTGATTTTCTGATACACTTGTTTTATATATTAGACGTTGCTCAATCACTCATTTCATGCCTTAGTCGTTGCTCAATCACTCATTTCATGCCTTAGTCATTGCTCAACCACGCTAAAATTCTCAAAAAAAAAAAAAAAAATGAGTCACATGGCCATTCAGTTGTCAAACTAAAGAGCACCATTCGCCATGTTGTTGTCTTCCTCTTAACCATCAGTCTGTCACTCATCCCACACAGAGGAAACCACTCTATTTTGGTATTCTCTGCAACCATAATCAGCTCCACACATCGTCACATTCCAAATATTATTAACCAACAGACTTCCACTGAAATATGTCATCCTTCTAGGACCCAAACCTACCTTGATACAAGACCTACCTTCTAATTTACATGTTGGATGCTCTTTGCACCAGAACACATGCACATATAAGAATGCAGCCACAGAAACAAATGGCCACACATGCACATACATGCATGTAGAATCTTAGTACATCCTCGAAATAAGAATGCTATGGCCTGTAAGGAGTTACAGTAAGATGTATTGGCACAAATTATGAAGACAATGAAGAACAAGAAAAGCAGCCCATACTTTATGTATTCTGATCCCAAACAATAATTATAAACCATTGAGTATCAAAGCAAATAATAATAACCATTACCGTAAGTAGCTTGTACAGTATAGATTCTACATCTTCCCCTACATATCCTGCCTGCAAAAAGAGTTACAACCTGTCTCAGTGATGTGGACATTCAATACAGGGAGTGTCAAATAAGAATTCTTTCAAGGACAAATATACAACAAAGCAAAGAGCAAGTATACAAAAGTGACATAGACAGAAAGGGGAAGTAGACAGAACATTCAGAAATCCCAATTGTATAAAAATTCTCTTTAAAGGGGAGAAGAACGGGCATGTTTTTCCTTCTTTCCTCAATATGAAAAGTGCCATAGAATAGCCAGATAAATACTTCCTAGAATGAAATTTCATGTGGCTTGTATTGGAGTTCACACTGAAACAGCTAAGTTCCTTTTTAAAAGTTCTGTAAACAAAATTCTGTAAACAAAATTCATGGACAAAGTTCTGTAAACAAAATTCATGGACAAAGTCACAGAAAAAAAAAACATTTTTCTGGTTTCTATAAAAAGTTTAAAGCTATTCAATAATTTCCTTAAATTTTGTAATTATTGGATATTGGACACATGAACCACCAGAACCATTTCTTTTCCTTAGTATTATCCATTTCTTTCTTTAAAATATTTGATATTCCATTCATCAGTTGTGAAGTTCAAAACAAATGAAAAGTCATGGGAACCAACATCAGATGCAAAGATCTTAAGAATGTGGGCGAATGTGATAGAAATAAGGAAACATGCTAATTTTAATCAATTATAGTAAGCACGAATTTTTCCGCAAGGAGCATTATGCGAACCACAACACACACACAAACGCTTGCACAAGCACACACGCACACGCACGTGCATGTGCACACACACGAGATGTCCCGGGGACTTTTGTCCCCGTAACAGGGGCACTAGATATCTATTATTAGTCTACTAATGCTGTATTTTTCTCCATCAAACCAGCCACACACAATAGAATATCTCCATTTCAATCATATACAACTTGGCTCATATTTCCAGTAACATATTTGGACTAACAGCCATGTGTAAGGAGAAGCATTAATATAAATTTGACCAGCAAATTACAAAAAACATGAACTTAGACAACATCAAGCAATCAGTAGTCCATGCGCACACATGCACACGCACACACGCACATGCACACACACACGCACACGCACACACACGCACACGCACACACACACACACACACACACAAGAGATGTACTGGGGAATGAGAAAATGAAAATTTTGTCCCCATAACAGGGGTACTGGATATCTAATTATTGGTCTACTTACGCTATATTTTTCTATCAAGCCAACCACAAACAATAGAATATTTCCATTTCAATCATATACAACTTGGCTCATATTTTCAGTAACAAATTTGGACTAGTAGCCATGTCTAAGGAGAAGTATTAATATAAATTGGATCCGAAAATTACAAAAAAATGGTGAACTTAGACAACATCAAGCAATCAGTAGTTCATGCAGCATGCTCTCAAAATAACAATGGCAAACTCAAATAATTGCATGTTCCCATATTTGGCCAACTTTGCATATATCAACTTGCCTGCGTTAATGTTGTGGCATCTGCTATAACAAATGGCACATTCACAAAGCGGGCCAAAGTTTTTGCAAGTAACGTCTTCCCTGTCCTTGCACAAACATTGCAATATGCAAGTCAGGCAATAGTAATGGACACATATAAACAAAAAACAAGGTATAGTCATGTTTGTAGCACTAAAACCCAATATAATTCGTTTTTGATAGAAGTAATATATATCTTCAATAATCTGAACTCATGTTACAAAGTTAATACCCGAGCCTGTAGGACCCATCAAAAGCACATTGCTTTTCTCAAGCTCCACATGGTCACCATCATCAGTTTCAGCTTCAGAGCAACTTGAATCTCCTCCAATTCTGAAGCACCAAGATCCACGTTCAAGTTCATTAAAGAGGAATCAAAAGAACAAGAAGAAACTATCGTCTTCAATTTGCAACATTTGGTGAAGAACAAAACCATAAAAAGAGTATAAGATGGAAATTGGTGTATAATAATATTAATATTTAAGGTGATTGGAAGTGAGGTTCATCAGATGCTAACCCTTTTTGCAAAGATGCATGATAGATCCTTTTGTAGTGATTATAGACTGCAACTGAGAGCACCTGCATTCATGAATATGAGATTATGTATCCTCTAAAATGCAATGGATTGAATATTATACAAAGACACAGTATACCAAGAAAAAAAAAAGTGTTTTGATTCTAAAGTGATATTAGCATAGAACAATTAAGTATTTTAGATTGTCCAAAAAACATGAATCTCAATTAAAAAGAAGAATATACAAGAAAATTCAATGTGCCACACCCTTTCAATATCAATTTTTTTGGGTTTTTAAAAAAAAAATTACCTTTCAATATCAAATTCTTTTTAAATTTTAATCAAAATCATCGAAACAACATGTACATCTGCTACAGAAAACCAAGTCACTTCATGCAAAAAATGACACAAATACTGCTTAAGTAAATATCTTAACCTTTCTTCTTGAGAAAGATTAACTTAAATACCTTAACCTTTTCCATAATTCTTTCTGAGAAGCACTCAAGAGTTGATAGATGCCCTACAGAAAATGGCAGTCACACCCATCTTTAATAGATATCCTATTTTGATTGACTGTGTGAATTGACATACTTTTATGTCTCACACCTTTCCCAGCAATTTCTTCCAAACTTCTAACCCTTTGCAACATTTTAAAAAGTAAAAACCAGCAAAATGCATACTTTTCCTAACAATCCTGCCAAACAACATTTTCACAGTTCAAACACATTTTGTATTATGCTCCTTGAATTTTCATCCTTTCCTAGGCCCCTCTTAAAACAATCTAAAGGTGAATAACTATCCTATAGAAGCGTGAAGAATACCCCTCATATCTCGCTCATGCGCAACCTAAACACAATTTATGTCAAATCTCCATCTTTTTGGTTGATGTCTTCCTCATTGTCCATACCTCTAGAATATATACACAAAAACAGTAAAAATTAGCAAAATAAACCTTTTCTAACCTGCTCCTACCAAATAAAAACTCTAATTTTGCAAATTTCCCAGTGTTTTATTTCATTCTTCCTGATTTTCTGTCCACCTAAAATCACCTTTGTAAAAACTTGTAAAGATAGCTAAACATGCACCTTTTTCTTCCCAATTTCCTATTCCTCCAAAATCATTTAAAATATTGACTAACAAAACAAGAAAAACACTCTCCATTTTTGCCCATTGCCACCCATTAAAAACTCTGAATCATGGAATGCCCAACTTTTACATCAGTTCCATCCCAATTTTGTATCCCGCACCTAAAAAAAAAAAATTCATAGCAAGAATAAAATCTCGCACCTTTCTGGCCTCCTTCCCAATAACAACTCTAATTTACAGAATGCTTCAGCCTCTCTATTAAATTTCTCCCTATATCACCAAAGCCATTTTAAGGAAAGGTTAAAAACTAGCGTAATTACACATCTTTTGCCCACTCCTGCCCAATAACAACTCTAATTACTGCAATGCCCTCACCAATCTCTAACAACACTAATTACTGCAATGCCCTCACCAATCTCTTTATTAGAAAACTAGCAAAGCATGAACCATTTTCACTCATTCCTGCTAATAACAACTCCAATCTATGCAAATCCCCTATCCCAGTGAAAAATAGCTAGATAATAATCTTTTGGCGCACTCCAATCCAACAACAACTCCAATACATGCAAATTTCCCACCTTTCGCTCTTAATTCAGCCCAATTCTCGACACCCACATACCCAATGAAAAGAAAGAAAAGGAAAAACAACAAGTACAATGCATTTTTTTCACAAATTGATGCTCAAACAATCAAAACAATAAGAGAGAGCCACTAAGAACTATATAAAAGTTGCACCTTTTTCGCACGCTCTTGCCCAATAACAAACTTATCCAGCCCCTTGCAAATCTCCTTTGGAGTAGGCAAATCTTTGCCCAGATTAGCACCACCCCACGCATCTTTTGAGCCAAACGAGCCCCCACCATTGCTCGAACCACCGCCACCACCACCAGGCCCACTTGCCCTAACAACATTCAAATTTGGAGGGAATGGTGGGCCTGGTGGGCTTTGAACTGCAATCCCATTACCAGGTGGAGGTTGCCAATGTTCCGGTGGATCACCATATGACCTCAACGTCTCCCAAAATGAAGCCCTTAGCCTATTCTCATAGCTATTGTTACTGTTTTCACCTTCTTGTTCCCAATTCGAATCCCCCTTCCCATCTGAAACCCTAGTTTTCAAAGAAACCCGGGAATCCTGCACGGGTGGATCCTTCGAATCATTGGAGTTGGAATCATGGGAGTTGATTCGACCGATCTCCACGAAACTCCCCTGCAATGGAACCAGACGAAATGGCCGGAAATAGTATGCGGTCTTGCAATTAGGGCACAAATTCACAGCTTGGAAGCTTTGATCACCAATAAGGGGCCGGTTAGAGAGAGACCTCACAGATAATGAATTGGGTGCTATCAATACATCCATTTGTTTTGAGCATCGAGGACAATTCACCTCTGCCCTAATTCTCTTGGGGTGAATCCCATCATCTCGACCTCCTTCCCATTTGTTCCTCTCCTGAAACCCTAAATTCTCTCTCCTCCGATAAGCTCCAACATGCAAATGGTTAACTCGGGTCGAGATGCTCGATACCTGGTAGAGAGAGCGAGTGAAGGGCTTCTTAAGGTTGCTGTGGTTCTCAAAAACAATGGGGTAACTGGATCTGGAAACGGAGACGGTGAATTGAGAGACCTTTGCAGATTCCTTTACGGTCTTCCACCTGAAAAAGCCGGACATCGTCCCGTAGAATTGAACCTGGTTCTTGTGAAGGTATAGAGAGAGAGTAGAGAGAGAAACTGAGAAAAAGATGGTTTTGAGGGAACTAATGGCGCTTTTTGCAATGATTATAAAGGGGAGAGCGAGAGAGATCTGGTAAGTGAGAGAGTTTTTAGAGAGATAAATATTGTGAGAGAGTTTTTAGAGAGAGAGGGAAGAGAGAGATTTGTATCGCAGAGATCCCAAGTGAGGTGTTATTGCATGTAGGATAATGCATACAGGAAATGAACGATGAAGTTTCTATAAGGCCTAGGCTCCATGAAAACAAAATAAAGCCCCATTTAAAATCAACTTTCAACACCGATAATGATATTTCAAACTTAAAAAAGATACGAAAATATATAAAAGCTTATTTTTAAGGCAAACAGTTTAAATAATACGTTATAATATATATTATTTTTAGAGCTTTAAATTCTTTTTTTATTTTTATTTTTTATTTTACGTCTGTAACATTCAAGTCAAGATGATCCATGTAAAGTTTTTCCAATCCTTAAATAATAATTTCATTAAGTTATGAATTGAGGCTTTATTTATTAGAAAATAATTATATAAGGTTGCAATTTTAAAATGTAGAATTACAGGTGCACCTTAAAAATCCATTGAAAAATGTTGTTTTAATGTTGAAAAACCCTCCTAAT